ATATATATATATATATATACTGTCCTATTTATGATCATAAAAAGCATGAAGAATATCAAGAGGAAGGAAATTAATCAGATTATACATCGAATTTTTCGATATTATCCTTAATGACGATTCATTTTGAAATTTAAATTACAAAGGATATTTACTAGCCTTCATCTCCCTGCACACGTATGCGAGCACGTGCGTCGTAGGTAAGTAGCCCTATACAAATACCATGTCCAACGGAGCATGTTTTGCGGAGGGTTAAAACCGCTTTGTAGACACGTGCCATTTCAGGAGGAGATGAAGTATCGTTACGGTTACATGACTCCCGTTTTTTTACTACCGACATTACTGTTGTATGTTCGCCGACAATGAGTTAATGTGTTCCCTGACTGCACAAAAATGTTACGAACGTTATTACAATGTAAATTGCCGTCTTGTAAACACCTGTAATAAAATGTTAAACGCTATTTTAACGAGAAATGTAATGTTTTTGCAATTACTTGTCGGAATAATTATCGGTATTATTCGTGATATTATCATTCCTGGGAAATTAATCCCTTTAAATTTTTTCGTTTTAATATTAAAGCATTCTTTTTATTTTATTCTTCTATTATTATAAGTAGGTTTTTTTATTATCATATAAGTTTCCAAAATTTTTACAATTTATGGTAATATTTGCCTTAGTATGCTGTGTATAAAATTTAGATGACAAAAATATTTATACGTAACGAGAATCATTGTTACGAATAATATAAAACGCAGAGCAGAACTTTTGTATTGGAATGTACGAGTGTTCTGTAAGTCTGTAATCCAATTACAAGTAGCTTATAAGCGATGGCACGTACTATGAAGGGTGTCTATGAGTGTTACTCGCGTGTAATATCGGGGTTAACATTTCGTCGAAACAGCGTAGCGCGAATAATACGATTTAGTTAATCATGTGTAAATGAAATATGGGGAGGCATAGCTGTGTCAACTCTGATTTTTTTAGCTCAAATGATATTTCGAATATCGAGCAATCTTAAATCGAAATTTGAAAAACAACATGAAACGATGTAATTTGTTTCAGAGCTTTTTGATTGCTCGTCAAAATATCAAAATAGATTCAAATAAAATGTTTCCAAAAAAATTCTCTTTTCAGATTGCACGTTAATCAGATTTATCAAATATAGAGTAACATAAAACAAGACTGGAGGTAATATTTTTAGATCAAATAGAGATAATTAAAAAAGAGACAAATTCGAGCGATATCAAACTTTATCTAGTCGCATCACAAAAAAGATTCGTTTCTGTCAAGTCT